ACAAATCCAGAGTCTGGGGTCTTAGCAAGGGGATGAGGGAGTTGCGGAAGGGATGCATTGTGGCAGGAGTCATATCATAGAATCATGGAATCATAGAATCCCTAAAGTGCGTAAAGAGGCCATTCAGCTCATCAAGTCTGCACAGACCCTCCGAAGAGCATCCCATCCAGACCCAGACCCCACCCTATCCCTGTATCTTCACATTTACCATGGCCAACCCAGCTGGCCTGCACACTTTTGTATACGTCACTCCAGCCTGGAAAAGAGCAATACCCTCTTTTCTATCCCTGAACCAATTTTGTGCTCATACTATGACTGCCATTAATTGGTCACTTAATGACCTCAATGTGCCTAAGGGAAGGGAAGGAAGAGAGGGAGGTGCCGTGTACCCGATGCCTCCTCAATCACTGCAAAATTTCAGACAGCACTGATGGCATGCATCTTAAATACTTGAAGATTCAGAAAGGAAATAGCAAAGGCATTGATCACAATTTTTCTTGAAAAGGGAAGTTGTGGTTGATGAATGTCAATGTAACACCTCTGTTCAAAAAGAAAGGAAAGGATAAATCAATTAACTGGAGATCCATCAGAATAACGTCAGTAAGCTTCCAGAATCACTATTACAAGATAAAGTTAATTCTTATCTACTACCTTGTGAGTTAATTAAGGACAGCAATATGAATTTAGAAAAGGCAAATCATGTCTGCCAAATATAATCATGTTTTATGAAAAATTAATAGAGGATAAAAGAAATATCATTTGCTTTGCATCTATGAATTTTTAAAGGCATTTTGTTGAGTCTTACACAAGAAGCTTTTTGATAAGACTAAGACTCAAAACAGGAGATTTTAAATTTATTTTGGCATTGTGAAATGGTCAACTGTTAAAGAAGATGTCCACTTTTCTTCAAATTAAATCAACATTTTGCAATGTTATTGAAGTGTTGTGATAAATGCAAGTTGCCATTGTGGTGGGAGAAGTAGGATGCTAGAAGGAAAGGTACAAATGGTTTATCCAAATTCCACTCCAGTCTTTAACTTTGAAAGAGAACACATCACTTGATGGAAAGAGAACGAAAACATGAAGGCATGAAATGGACCCCAATAATGAACAGTATCAAAGGATTATCAATAGTTGGGAAAAGAAAATACAAATACATTTTGCTTAATGCCAGAAGAAATAGAATTAGATTTAGCTTTATTGTCACATATTCTCACATGAGTACAGTGAAATGTTTACAAGTTGCCACTTACAACATCATCTTCGGTACAAATGTATCTAGGTACAAATTCTTAAGTACAAAATAATTTTTGATGCATGATTGAACGTTAAAGGGATTCTGCTTTTCAAGTATATATGTATAAACAAATAAAAATTGGCTACCAGACATTTCAAAGATATTTGTGTTATGCATGTATGAGATGAACATGGAAATTGGTGGGTAAGAAATTAACTGTTGATCATTCAAGCCTACCCACTCCACATCATAATACCTGGGATCTTCATGGTTGAAGACATTATTTCCCTAAGACTCTCATGCCATCTTCCTCACCCACCCAATACATACACCCACTCAACATGTACACCCCGCTTCCATCTTCACAGCTACTTAAATTCATGGGAGCAGTAAAATAGACTGATTCCAATAATGGAGCAAACAGTTGTAAAATTTCACTGTGACTCTATCAGCCAATTAAAATCAGTAAAAGAAAAATTGCAGGGACTAAGTGTTACCTATAAAGTCCCTTACCTTCTGTAGAGTGCAATGCAATCTGAACTCTGGCTCAGACCCCTTTTTAACAAAGCAGGAGTGTCCACATCCACCATAGCAATGTATTCGCATTTCTCTGACAGAAGATCAACTTGATATTACTTCTTTACTACTTTTGTCTTTTCTAATCTCATAAACAGGAATAATCTACTAACATGAACATGATTCAGCCTTTTTAATTTTTTATATTACTCTACCAGGTCACTTCCCAGTCTATAGATACCGCCATCATTTAAATCTAGATATGTCTCAGCCAATCTGTGTTTTCTAGTGCTGCATAGGATTGTAGTTCCAGATGCTTATTTCTAAGGTTTCTTATTTTAACATTGAACATTTCAGCGATCTATCTGAAAGCTGATTATGGATACCATTCATTTTCTATGCTTTACTGTTTGAAAGTCTGGGTGGTCTAGCCTCTGACTGTTCTTTTCTCATTTATCTACTCTAACCTTTGGGTGAACACAATTAAATTCTTCCAGAAGGCTACCTCAAAATTCTTGGCCAACATCTGTGCATCCAAAAAGTTAACATGACAATCCCTCCTTAACAATATATGTTGTTGCTAAATTTCAAATGATCACAAAAATTTATACTACAAGAGAAAAAAAAACTTATTGGTTGGCAAGTCAATTGTGATAGGTTGAATTGTTGCCACAGAAAAAGCAATGAGGAACCCAAGGCCCCAGCCTCCCTTGTAATTTAAATAGGGCACAGGTTTGAACAAATTCCTTTTAATTTCACATTCCTGCGTATGAATGCACGTTGCTTCTAGCAAGCATAAATGAGTCACACTATAAGCTTGACAATTTATTGTAAACTGGTTGTCAAATTGCTATTAGCACATTTGGGATTGTTCAACTTCTGCCCAATTGCAGAATCACATCTAACGGTAGTTTGGCTTTCAACTCTTGCACTTGCCCTAATGAGTGTAGGAAGAATAGCTTTGGCAGCATGTACTGTACTACCAAGCAACAATAAAACTAACTCTCTTTAGCATCAATCCATGAGCCCAATTATTATGGTGTTACTTTCTGTAGAATTCTGCAGCACTGGAACAAGACCTGTAATGACTGCCTTTACTTTCTTGGACATTAGATCATGCATCAGCTTTCTCAGCTTGTGCTACAATTAAAGGAGCCTTTTCTCTATTACATCATTTGCTTCCACTTGTAATGCCATAATTATTATTATTTTACAATGACAGCATATGTTAAATAGTGATAAAACTACTTTGAGTCTGCATGTTGTTCCAAGCATTAACCAATATGTTGTTTCTCTATACAAATCATTCAAAGTATTTTATGAAAAAAATCTATTTTTTTTGATATTTCCTGATAACTGAAATTTCTATTTTTCTAAATAAGGATTCAATTACCTTGTTTTCAAAAAAGAAACATTTACAATGACATGATTTGATATAATCATTTAAATCTTTTAATGGCTTAATTAAATTTTAACAGAAGAGGCTTCATCTCGTCCTAAACATTTGGACTGGGATTTGACATTTCTGCCAAGAGATGAATTTGAATTGTAATTCCTGAACATATCTTCCCATGATGTATAACTATTATCTGGTAAACTTAGAATATATTTCCTTATTTTAATATCATAGGATTATATGACACCTTGAAAGATCAAGATCCTAGAGATTCGTTCAGTTAAAATTTATGTTTCCTTTAAATGCAGGCAATGTGGGCTGAGAGAGTGAAAAAATGATATGAATTTCACACTTGTGCCTTTGATTTTTTTTTGTTTTGCAAAGTTGCAGAACATGTATTAAGCATTGGGTGGGGGTGGCGTGCGGGCTTGAGTTCAGGAGAGAGAAACAGAGAACAGAGGGGACTAAAGAAAGAAATAGGCGATGACCGAAGGAGTTGAGAGACGGGAGAAAGGGAAGAGGGAAGCTTTTTTTCATATGAATTAATTTTCAAAGAGAGATATATGTTCAAGCCAATTATATATTGTACCTCTAAACAAATCAAAAAAGCAACTGCTAATTATTGCTTGAGTCACGTATTCTAATTGCAAATACAATTGATAGGCAGAGTATCTCATTCCCGCTTCTAATTTTAAAGAAGTGGAATATTGAGGGATAAATAGGACCAACACTATTATTCATAGAATTTACTTTTTCAGCAAACTGTTCAAATCCCTTTTTTGTTCTAGAGAGATGCTTGTTTACTAATTTTATTGAGAGATTCTCACTTATGTACAGAAGATAGATCAAAAAAACACAACTGTAACAGCAAACGTTAGGTCATGACAGAATTCGGGGTGGGAAAGAGCACATTTAGCAGCCTAGTGTAAGTATATCATTAAAAATGAAGTTGAGCAATGAGGAACAAGTGCTTTGTCTTATCTGATCTTTAACGACCAGGGCTGGTGGAATTAGAGAATACCAGCACTCAGTTTTGTGTGTGCGGGTCTTCGGAAAAAAATACATTTGCTTTTATTTATCGCTTTAAAATATCTCAAGGCACCTGACTCAATAAATTAATATTTTGGGGTGCAATGACTGAGGGATAGATGTCACAGATTATTCGTGTTCTGCTCATGTGCTGCAGAGTCGAGATTCAGCCCTGAGCCAATCCAGTCTAAACAAGCATAAGCGAATTAGGGCGGAATATATAGTTTATAATCTGATTTATCTTCCAATACCAGTGACAAAATATCGAAAACTTCCACTTCTTAAAACAGACTATTTCATCAGAGATAATGAAGTGAGCAGTTAACTTTTTTTAGTGAAATACTTTGTGTCTGCTTATCTCAGCGATTTCCTAATAGCTGTGTCTAGTCCCAAACCGGGGGCAAATGGGACCTGTTGTCAGTGGTCTCTTTAATGGCATGGCAGCGATCAATAACAGACAATGCAGTGGCGAGCTAAGACAGAAACAGACGGAGTTGTTTTCCAGGAAAAAAAATCCCTTTAACAATGCATTTCTTTCAAGTGAAAAACAGCATCTGGCTTTTAAATGTTATAAATTTGACAAATAGGGTGTGTATCTCACTGCAATTGAAAAGTCTGAAGCAAAACGTATACACTGAAGTGTAACAGATGATGTGCTCCCAGTCCCTGAGGTGCGCTGTGTGTGTCTTGAGTATTAGCCAGATGCTATACGCTTGTATTCTCTCTCTCTCTCTGTTTCCAGAGGCTCTCCTTCTGCAATAGCCTGTGACTGACACGGACCAAATTTATCCCGGAATAAGGACAGCACGCATGTGCCGTCAACCCGGATGTAAATCACTTGTTTAGAGAAAGCCTGGCTTGAATTTTGGCAGTGGAACCGGGTCTGGACCGGGCCGGGCCGAGCCGAGCCGAGCCAGGTTAGAGCGCGTTAACAGCAAGATAAAGGCAGATCCAGCAAGGACAGCGTATAACACCAAATTCATGCGGTAAATCTGGCCAATGACTAACAGCTGAGTAGCTGGAGAAAAGTCGCTGAAATTGGGAGAATTATACCTGGGATAACTGGGATGGAAATTAAATCCGAGGTTGGTGTGTTTGGTCCTTGGAGATTGAATCTGTTGACAAATATTTCAGGAGAACGGGAATACTGGGAAGTTCTAAAGCTAAGGGCACATAAAATTCTGAAATGTTGCATTTAAGAAAACAAAATTGCATTGGATGTCCTTATAATTCTGCATTTTAAAATCACAATTTACGTTTTTTCATCTTGCGTGGATTTTGCCAAACTTTTATGTTTAATGATGTGCTGCACTGCTGCTGTGGGCATTTAGCTCTTGTGGTTTGTTACCAGCAAAGATTTGCGATCAAGAAGCTGCCTGTGAACCGTGCTCCTCCCGTACCGCGGACTTTCCACATCGCACAGCGACCAACTGGTCCTTCACAGTGATAACAGCGCTCCCGGCACCATCAGGCGCCTCCTCCATTCACACATCTACAACTTTGCAGTCCATCCCATTCCCAGCACCATGGCTCACTGTGCTGAGAGAATTAACTGGCATTCAATCTGTCGCTTTCGAATCAAACTCTTATTCCGTTCATTCTGGTGTCATTTAGTTAGTGGAGTTTAAAAAACAAACTGTTGGTTCCTCTTTGGGGCTGCAAGAAAGAACAGCAAAATCTTGGCACCCACATTTAGAGTCATAGAGGTGTACAGCACTGAAACAGATCCTTCAGTCCAACACGTCAATGCCGACCAGATATCCTAAATTAATCTAGTCCTTTTGCCAGCATTTGGCCTATATCCCTCTAAACCCTGCCTATTCATATACCCATCCAGATGCCTTTTAAATGTTGTAATTGTACCAGCCTCCACCACTTCCTCTGGCAGATTACTGGATATATGTAGCACCCTCTGCATGAAAAAGTTGCCTTTTAGGTCCCTTTTAAACCTTTCTCCTCTCACCTTAAACCTGTGCCCTCTAGTTTTGGACTCCCCTACCCTGTGGAAAAGACTTTGGCTATTCATCCTATCCTTGCCTCTCATGATTTTATAAACTTCTATAAAGCAACCCTTCAGCCTCCAAAGGTCCAGGGAAAATAGCCTCAAACTATTTAGCCTCTCCCTGTAACTCAAACCCTCCAACCCCAGCAACATCCTTTGTCTGATGCCCATTATTTGTGGTGATGTATAGGCATGATATACTTGGAAGTTGTCAAGCAAAGTGTGAGTAACATCCTGAACTATTGTGTTCAAAAAAATTATGTTTTGATGCGCAGATGAAAGTAGGTTATTTAGCTGTACAGATCACATTGATTCCTAAAAATCTGCCTAACTATGGCTAAATGATTGTTTCAAGCTTTTGTTGGAAATGCCAGTTAAGGAGCCACCTTCTTTCTTTTGACCTTAGAAATCCTTTTGGGATAATGTGGAGAGGGTAAATGCAAAATCTGTTCCCCAATTCCCCCATTCCTCCATAGTTGGTTTTAAATGATTCCAGGATTTTTGTGTTCTGGACTTGCATTCTCTATTATCGTAGCCTTATATTTTTAAGCCCATCTTTTGAATGTAACTTTAAACTCTAGTTCCTTTGGCCCTCTCAGGTGAATGTAAAAGATCCCGTAGCATTATTTTGAAGAAGAATGACCAATGATTCTGGTTGGTTACTTGGTCAACATTTGTCAGATATCTTCTTTCCTTGTTGAAAAGCCAAAACCTCTATATTATGTTCTTATAGTTTCTGTCTGAAGATTTGTCATTTGTCTTGAACCGTTTCTTTACACAGCCTCCAATATTTCAGTGATGGTAGGAACTGCAGATGCTGGAGAATCTGAGATAACAAGGTGTGGAGCTGGATGAACACAGCAGGCCAAGCAGCATCAGAGGAGCAGGAAGGGTCTAGGCCCGAAATGTCAGCTTTCTTGCTCCTCTGATGCTGTTTGGCCTGCTGTGTTCATCCAGCTCTACACCTTGTTATCTCCAATATTTCAGTATTTCCTCTGCATCTCATTGGCAAGAACTCCGCTAAGTATTCAAGATGTGTGCTCTGACCAGAGCTTTATGCCATGACTTCTTCTGACTTGTGTTCTGCTGTTTTGGCTAAATCAGTCAAGATGTGTTGGATTTGTGGATTGTTGTAATGTATTGGTAGAGCATAGAGTGTTACAAAAACCCCATCAGGTTTGTAATTCATTTCAACCTTATCTTAGGGGAGGCCATGGCTTAGTGGCATTATGGCTGGACTGTTAATCCAGAGACCCAGATAATGTTCTGGGGACTGGGTTCAAATCCCACCATGGCAGATGGTGGAATTTGAATGCAATAAATATCTATCTGGAATTAAGAGTCTAACGATGACTGTGAATCCATTGCCGATGTTGGAAAAATGCATTTGGTTCATTAATGTCCTTTAGGGAAGGAAACTGCCATCCTTACCTGGTCTGGCCTACATGTGATCCAGACCCACAGCAATGTGGTTGACTCTTAACTGCCCCCAGGGCAGTTAGGGATGGGCAATAAATGCTGGCCTAGCCAGTGACGCCCTCGTCCTGTGAATGGAGGAAAATAAAACATCATTGATTGAGTCAAACCAGAAAGTACAGGAGAAACTCAGCAGGCCTAGCATCTGTGGAGAGAGAAAAACAGTGTTAAAGTTTCAAGTCCAATGATTCTTCAATGGAAATGAAGGGAGTTGGAAAATGATGACAAGGAGAAGAGGAGTGTGTGGAACAGCTGGTGAGGGTGTCCAGAGCAAATAGTCAAAGGGAATGCTTGTAGAAGAACAGAGATGTAGATACAAATAGGTATTAATGCTATGTGTGAATAGTAGAAAATAAGTCAGCTTTGCTGAGAGTAAACCATGCAAACAAGACACTGGTGGAGGTGCAAGGGGAGATTACGGGGAAATGAATGTAATCAGAATAGAAGGCAGTATTTACTATCTGAAGTTATTGATCTCAGTGTTGAGTCTTAAAGACTGTAAAGTGCTTCGGTGGAAAATGAGATGCTGTCCTTCCAGCTGGGCTTTGTGGGACAACTGCAGGCGTTGGACAGAAATGTTAGTGTGAGAGCAAACGAACTGGAAGGTCAGGCTCATTGTTACAGACAGAATGAAGGTATTCTGCAAAGTGGTCACCCAGAAGCTTTTCCATTCTGAGCAAGAGATATTGGAGTTAAAAAGTTAACTGTTTCTTTCTCCAGAGACTCTGTCAGTGTGGCAGAGTTTCCCTGGCGCTCCTTGTTTTTATTTCCAATCTCCAGCACCAATAGATACTTGCATTTATTTACCATTCATAGAATATGTGTGATACCCAGTTTTTGTTTTAATGTGCAGTCCTGGTGTGTCAGTTGTGGCTAAGTGGCATCCTTGCTTCTATGTCTCATAATAAGCATGAAAATCAAGGCTGTGTGCTATTGAGAGAGCATTGCTATCTTTTTGATGCAACTAAAATACCATTTGCATTCTCAGGTGGATGTAAAAGATCCGATGGCACTACTTCAAAGAAGAGTGTGCAGGTTATGTCTGGGTTTGGCCAATCTTTTGTTTTTAATTAACAGCTAGAAATAGATCATCAGGTCATTTTGTTTTGCATTGCTGTTTGCTGTGTGCAAGTGTACAACTGCATTCCCTACATTTCAATGGTGACTATACTTTAAAAGTACTTCATAGACAGCATGATGGTTTGAAATGTATTGTGCTAATGAAAGGTGCCAGAAAAACTTGCATTTATATGGATTTTCTTTTTACTCCAGTCTGATTTCAATTTCATTAAGCTATTATTCAGTTCATCTCTATACTTTGTTCAGCTCATTTTGCAAGTTTTAAAATTTTATTCAGCTGCCCTTTCTAATTTAGCATTGTATGCAAATTCACCTGCCATTTGATTTCTGAGTTTGTGTTCGTGATTTGTGTTAGAAATAATAGTGCTGTAATCACAATCACTGAACCGTCCCACTCAGTACATCCTTCCCCTTTTCAACAGAACTCCTTTAACAACTGCCCTTTATGTTCCATCTTTTAGTCAATTTCTTGTCCATATCAAGGATTTACCTTGAACTCCCATAGATGGCAGAGAATTTTCCTGCAATTATACAATATCAAAATATGCTTGCACCTATTTGGATGAATAGCTGAATTGTATTTATGTACCTTCATGCTTTGCTTTGCTGACTGAGCTATCCCGGAAAAAAAAACCCAACATCTTGCATTGTCTTATTTTTCAGTTAGATAGAAGGTAAAGTCCTTTATTAGAGATCCTCAAAATATCTATTAATTTTGAATTGTATTCATCCAACCAATGTTTCTGATTTCATTAGGTTCTGCATGGCACCTTCTCTGCAAATCAGGCTATGGATCCAACAATATCATCTTAATCCAAATCTCTCCTTCTGTTTTTCGTGGTGCTGGTTCGACTGATGCCAGAGTGATTCAGGTTTGTTCCCTCTTGGGCTTAGGTTAAAACTAATCTTGCCCAGTGAATTTTATCATAACAAGAAATAAGTCTGAAATTATTGTTAGGAAAATATGAATTATGTTTGAAGCTATACTATTCTAATGTAAACAGCCAATATAAATAGAAGATAAATAATACTTTCCTAAACTATTAGTAATAAGATGCCAATCATCTGGGAGTTTATGTATTCTCAGTGCAGTTATAAGTACATTTTACACCGTTACAGGGAATTTGGATATTTAAAGAGAGTGTAACTATTTACAGTTGTTTACTTATTGTTGGATATTAAAATGGTGCTGTAGCAAAGTATTCAAAATGTATTGCTGTTATTGTCTTTCAGCCTAGTGAGCTGTGATGGATTTCCGGGGCAAAAAGTATGAGCGTGGGAGTAACTGGTCAGACCCTGAGGTGGTTGAGCTGCTGCAGCTTTGGGCCGATGAGTCTGTTCAGATGGAACTGGAGAGTTGTCTGAGAAACCAGCATGTCTTCAACAGGATAGCTGAAGTCTTGAGGGAAAAGGGGATCCACAGAACAGGAGACCAGTGCAGGGAGAAGATCAAGAAAATGAAACTTGAATACAGAAGAATTAAGGACAACAACAAAATCTGTAGGGGTGGACGGACTTGGAAGTTCTTTGAAGTGATGGATAGAGTTTTGTCCAATAGGCCAAATATTTGTTACAGTACTGTGGGTAGCACAGTGATAACACAGCAGATACCACCAGGTGTATTGGCAGCAGGAGATGGTTATATTCATCATCACCACCACCATCATCTTACTTCTCCACATGGTATTTCTCATTCTCACCATCCTCAGGAGCTAATGGATATTAAATGTGAGGAAGTAGACTCGGATGAACGTAGTGAGACACCTGAACCACCACCACCAATTGTACTTCCGCAAGCCGCGGATGATCATGGGATGGATGGGAGCCTCTTGGAAGGGGGACATCATGATGGGTCACCAGCCGCTAGGCCAGATAGTCATACGGAGAATGCCGTTTCTCCATCAGGTTGGTACCTAACATCATCTCAAATCTCCTCTTTCATTCAAGTTCATCTACGTCTTGCATTTTATCTGGCTAATCATCTCCTCTCCCCACTGGCTAATTTTCCTCCTTCTCTGCCATTGCCTACTCCCACTTCAGCTCCCCATTCCCTTATGCCCACACTTCTTTCATTCTTTTTATTTGTGTCCTCTCTTTAATTTTTTTTTAGTTTTAAGCCTTTATTCTTCTTTTACCTTTCTGTCTCCTCTATTTTTCTGTTTTTCAATATTTATTCAAATGCTGTTTAGGATGTTGCTACACTTGTTTTACTCGGTGATGCCCGGTTGACAAATATTTGCTTTACTGCAATGCGTTTGAACATGATGTTAATCAAGTTTCCTCCTGTGGATCTTGCCAGGGTCTCACCTGTTCCTTAAGATCATGTGATGAAGTAAACTGAGCATAGTGTTGTAGATGTGGGCTGAATCAAGGCTGGGTAGATTGTCAAAATTGTACCTGTCATTTTATGTTATTAACTGGCACCTATGAGACCAGGAGTGTGCCAATTGATGAAATATCCCAGTTGATCAAGAAGTCCACACAATCAATGTAAAAACATACACTAAGTAATAGAAATGTAATGCAGACACATCACTGTTATACTTTCACTTACAGCATAAATCATGAAATAATAATGCAACTTTGCCTTAAATAAAACTTACCAGCAGAGAGCCTTCTCACTCTCACTTTCAACTGACTACTTGGACATCGCGGAGTTCGCAATAATATAGTAAACGTCTGGTATTTGAGGTATATAACTTCTGCTGATTTATCGAGAGCACCGGTTCATAAGGTCCCAATTAAAACAAAATTTGCTATATACACTGAACACACTATTCTCCTTCACAATAGCCTCATGAGAGCAGCCATGGACCCATCATAACTTGTGAATTATGTTTTATATAACACACCTGAATTTAACCTAACCCAAATGCATCATGCCACATTTATCTCTATTGACAAACATTTGCCATGCATATTTGTAAATTAAAATTATAGATTGTTTCTTTGATGCCAGATTATTAGTAAAGATGCTGAAAACAAAAGGAACAGACATTCTTTTCCGAGGTGTTGACCATGGCTCACTGATTGAGCCTGGAGATTGTGTTCCAGAAACATAAGGGAATGCTACAAGGTGTCAACGTTCAAATGAGACAGTGACTCACCACTTGGGTAAGAAATCCCAAAGCATTCTTTCTGTGAAGAGCAGGGAAGTTCCTTCTATTTCCAGTTCAAATCTGTATCCTTAAACAATACCCAAAAGCAGATGATCTTCTTAATATCACATTTCTGTTTGCAGAAGGTTACTGTGCACAAATTGTCTGATTATATTTCATATGACAGTGAGTACACTTGAAAAGCAGTTTGTGGATTATAAAGTACTTTAGAGTGACCTCGGTTCAGTGCAAATACAAGTCCTTTTTACATATTCTTTTCTGCAGTAGTCCAGGCAGCTGCCGCCAAAGCGCAGTGGAGAAAGACCACTGTCTGAGATCTTTCTACTGAAGTTAAATGGGTGTCTGTTCAGTTATCAGACCCTCCTGGTAAGATTAAATATAATCTTACTCAAGTAAGAGATGCCTGGTCCGAGGAAGGGTCACCAGACTCGAAACGTTAACACTAATTTCTCTTCACAGATGCTACCAGACCTGCTGAGCTTTTCCAGCAATTTGTTTTTGTTCAATGTTTGTTTTCTTCTGGACAGAACTGCATTAGTGATTTTGTATATTATGTATGTTTAATGAATAAAGTATATTTTTGAAATAAAACAAAGGTCTACTAATGATAATACCCACAACACTCCTATAAAAAATAACTGTCCATTGTACATCTGAATCCAACCTGGGATCATTACCCAAGCTTAATCTACCAGTCAACCCACAACACCTGACATTTATTGGTAGTATTTTGTGAAACAATTGTTCAAAACTAGGGAGGAATAATTGAGTCTGCATTCATAGAATCCCTGCAGTGTGGAAACAGGCCCTTCAGCCCAACAAATCTGCACCGACCCTAAAGCATCCCATCCAGACCCATCTAATAACCCATAACCTATAACACACCTAATCTACACATCCCTGAACACTACAGGCAGTTTAGCATGCCAATCCACCTAACCTGCATGTCTTTGGACTGTGGGAGGAAACCGGAGCACCAGGAGGAAACCCATGGAGACACGGGGAGAATGTGCAAATTCCATACAGACAGTTGCCCGAGGGTGGAATCAAACCCAGGTTCCTGGGGCTGTAAGGCAGCAGTGCTAACCACTGAACCACCATGCTGCCCTCATTGAGCCATCCTGGAAGCTGGAGCTTATGCTGACTCAGCATACTGGTGTACAAGCACATTCAACCATCAGTAGAATTTGGTATGCATATTTTATCTACCAATAGGACTTCATGTGTTGACTTGAGGCATCTGAGGTGACCGTGTATCAGCGGTGCACTGTGATATTGTAACATATATTGCTCAGACATTTTAAAAACACAGAAAATTTTGGAGAAACTTAGCTTGTCTGGCAGCACCTGTGGAGGGAGAAACAGAGTTAACATTTTGAATTTGACTCTTCTTCAGGCCTGTTTATGATTTCCAGCATCTGCCATATTGTGCTTTTATTACTAGGGCGGTATATTCATGTGGTTCTAACTCCCTGACTGTGCCAACGTCAGAGATAGGCTCAGCAGTTTGAACTACTTTTGGTAATTCTCCATTGAGATTCAAGCTGTTCGGAGCAAAAATGTGTTGCCAAGATCCTAGTGTAAAAAGCACATAAATTGTGCATTTTTTAAAACTTCTGGCAGTGAAGCACGTGACAATAAACCAAAATAAAAATCTCAATTGTGAGTGGCTGATTTGAACTGTTGTGACATAGCAACGGGACTTTGCACTTAATGCATCTAATGTGACTTCATATCCAATTCTGCAATATTTCATGAGAACTCCAGAGGGCATGAAAATTCCAGTTTGTTTGTATATCCAAACAAAGAAAACTAATTTGCCTAAGAATATCTATCCTCCGTCTTTACAGAGATGTTATGATTTTCTAATGTAGACTGTACATTTCTTCCTTCAACTAAACACTTTTTACTATTTTCGAAAGATTTTGTACATGCTTTCTCTCAAATCAAATCAATTGCTTAAAGCAGCATACAAAACCACAACACTCAAAAACAAATATTTAAAAAGCATTCCTGGTTGCTTTGTCCAATGATTTATTGCTCAAATATTGCATGACATTGCATTCATGGAAAATAAAAGCATTAGTGAAGAGCTATAGCAGTAAAACAATTTGCTTTTAACCAGATGAGCAAGCTTAGTTTGTGGCAATGAGATTATAAAATGTTAGGTTGTGCAAATATTTGAAGGAAAGAGCAAAGAAGCAGTCTTGTTTTTAAAATCTATACTTCAGTTTGAAAGTAAATGAGGTTAATCACAATGACAGAGCCCAATGAAATAGCAGGTTAATGGGGAGAAGTGAAATGTAGTGCTTTAGTATTGCAAAAAAAAAGAACTGCATTGAATCTCTCTGTGATTCAAATGATGTTATAGGGCACTGAAAGCTCTAGGATCAGATGCCCTTATGACTCAAGGTGTTAATCAGTAAATCAGTAACGGTTTAGCAGGTTGTACTTTGCCTTATATATACTGCACATCATAGATTGTAGTTTTCTACACATGCTGAAGATTGCATTAGTGAAGGTCCTGAAAATTAAGCTGGAACTTATTTGAAGGTAGGAGCCAATATTTCATTTGTTACTGCAAAATATGTTCTAGGAGCATTAACTAAGTTATTGTTTGGTCTTGATACTTAACATTTCTTTACAGTTTTTTTTATTGTCAGTATGGGTTTGAAGAATTTTAAATCATTAGTCCAGGGACAGACTGCATAGGAAACAAACAACAGTAGTTTCAAAGTCTATTGCTCTCTGTTGGCAATAAAGGTTGTGACATTCTTTTGCATAGATGAATTGTTTTTTTTTAAAGGCTTGAATTTATACATGGTGGTTTTCAACACTGCTAAATGGCTCACATTGTGTTGTAACCAGTTTTTGATTGTAGTCATCATAAAGGAAAAGGCAGCTAGTTTGCACATAGCATGGTCTTAAAACCAACATTAATCTGTTTGACTGTTTGAGGAATAAATATTAGTTTGAACTCTGAAAGAATCTCACCATTCTCTGGTCCTTTGTGTCTAAATGACAGACCAATAGATCATCATCCAAAGCTTTAACATGTCATCCAAAACACAGCACCTCCAAAGGTGCAGCATTCTGTCAGTACCTTTATTATTTATTCATTCAAGAGATATGGGTAATGCTGGCAAGGCTGTCACTTACTGATCATCCTTTGTGTTGAATTGTTGCAGTCTGTGTTGTGAAGGTAGTGCTATTGGTTGGGAATTCCAGATTCTTCTCAGTGATAATGAAGAAATGGTGATATATTTCCAAGTCAGCATGCTTTGTGATGTGGAGGGGAACGTGGAAGAAATCTTGTGTGGTTGCTGTTCCTGCCCTCTCAGGTGGTAGACGTCACTTGCTTGGGAGAATAGACAGCCTAGATGAGGTGATCGTATGCTTTAGTTCAATGTAGAGAAGGATGAATTAGGTCTAGAAATCAGGAGGGGGTATAAGATATACTTTAACGAAGAGGAGGTATTAGCAATTTCAGCAGACTTGCAAGTGGATAAATCCTTAGACCCAGATGATACATGTCCCAGGCTGCTGTGGGAGGCAAAAGTTGACAATAACTTTCAAACCTCTCTGGACACAGGAGGGATTCCAGAAGACTGGATGATAGCAAATGTGGTACTAGTATTCAAGTGGGGTAGTAGGGATAAACTAGGAAATGACAGGCAAGTGAGTCTAACACATGTGATAGGGAAACTATTGGAAGAATGTCTGAGGGACAGAATTAATCTCCACTTGGAGAGGCATCTATAAATCAA